GGACAGCGGCTGATGGGAGCTGGAGTCCAGCGGCATCGGGAGCTCGGGGGGATCTCTGCCCGCCGACATAAGGCTCGGAAATAGAAAGGGGGGCGGCTTAGTTGGTTCCCTTCACTCGGAAACCGGCTGACGTGCCTGGAAGGCCGGGTGAACCGCGCTCCCTGGGCGGCTTGAGCGGACCGAGCCCCCCCGGCCCGCCCAGCCCATCTCATTCGTTTTGAAAATAACGATCTTGTTAAAAAGGTTTGCCCCCTCTTAGGAACACGGCCCGCAGTAAAAAGCGGAAGGCCCCGACGAACAAGAAACCTGCCCCCTCAGCCCGTTTATGGTTCAGTTCTGCCAGCGAAAAATGGGGTCCCTTCAGGACCCGGATCGTTCGTTCATTCATTCATTCGTTCATTCATCCATCTCGTGGGGATGAAATCAGCACCTTCTTTCCCCAAACCTGATTTAAACACAGAAACGTTTTGCTTCTGAAAAATTCAACTCAAGATGGAAGGCATATTTTTCTTCGTTTTGCCCTACAGTATTCCCAGAAGCTTTATCTTTCTTGGTGCAGGGAGGGGAAAGAAAGTATCCAGAGCCCCCCCCCAGTAATCAGCTGGCTAGTCCTTATTCTCCCAAAGCCATTAGCGATTTTTAGGATTACTGCCACCAAACTGTCCCACTAGCTCAGTGTTTCTTAACCTTGGGAATTTTAAGAAGTGTGGATTTCAATTCCCAGAATTCTGGGAGTTGAAGTCTACACACCTGAAAGTTACTGAGGCTGAGAAACACTACAGTAGCTGATGAGAACAAGTTTGGAATAATGAGTAGCATTAACTCATTTGCATGGAAAGTCTGAAAGGAACAACACCGAGGATGCTAAATGTACCCGCAGTAACTTAGAAGAGAACAATAGTGCAAAAACTGGAGATTTTTAGTGGCTGCACTTGATGGTTTTGGGGGTGGTTAAGGTGGCTTCAAACGGGTGCAATTGGCATTTTCCAATTTTTTAAAAAAGGGTTTGGAATTTTTTTTTTTTAAGCATAGTTTTAGGGAAAAGAGCAGAAGTTGGTCTCTTCTGATGGAATATTTGAGAAAGGATCACAACGAGCATGTTTTCCTCTTATTTTGTAGCCTTGGATTGTCAGACTTGTATCTTGATTTTTAACGCACTTGTTGAGAAGCTCAGTTCAGGAATTATATATCCAAGTAAACATTCTTTAGAAAAGGAATGATCTGTTGCAGCTGTTCTGTATTTTTGTTACTCTAGCAACCGAAGGAGGCATGTTCAATTTATGAAGTATGGAAATGTGTGTTTAATTTTTCAGGATCCAAGTTAGGAACATGGCGACTCTGAAAGACAGTAAGCATTTTATGTTATATTTACTTGTCTGAGATGGTAGTCTAAAAAAAGTCTGAAGTCATGGCTGCATCTTCATTTTAAATATTTCTTTGCTTGCTTTGACATGCTGACTAGGGATAATCTACTTCTACTGTGTATATAATGGCTAATCCAAATTTGCTTACATATTTTTAGAAGGGATTTTTACTTTTAACATGTAAAGTAAACATTTAAGCTGCAAAACTGATGAAGGGCCTTCCTTGATGTCAGTTAAAGTGGCTGTGAACCTGATCCTCAGTGGGCAGTAGATAGATCAAGCAGTGGACAGTAGATCGAGGTTTTTTCCTAGTGCTGGATAGGGAAGAACGGGCTTCATCTCAACCCTGACAAGACTGAGTGGCTGTGGATGTTGAGCCCTCTGGATCTGGGGACTTTCCATCTTTAGCTCTGGATGGGACTGCATTCCTCCAGATAGAACTGGTGCACAATTGGAGAGTCCTCTTGGACTCTCGGCTCTTCCTCCATTTTGTGCACAAAATGTGCCTGTTCATGGTTCGGGAGGCCCTGCTCATGCTCACTCATGCCTTGGTCACTTCCCACTTGGACTGTTGTAATGCACTCTATATGGGGCTGCCCTTGAAGTCCACTCAGAAACAACTGTTGGTCCAGAATGGAGCAGTGTGGGTAGTTATGGGTGTATCATGGTATACTGCCCACTGGGTGGGCAGAAACTATCAGAGATAGATGGTCCCCCAAATAGCCAAGCCCTAAGCCATGAATGACTTTATAGGTGATGACCAGCACTTGAATTGCACCCAAAAGCCACTTTGCGAAGCAGCAGAGACACATGGGCATATTATGGTGCACCCAACACTGCCTATACCGCTGCATTTTGGACCAGCTGTAGCTTTCAAGTGGTCTTCAAGAACAGCCCCATTTACAGTGCATTTCAGTAGTGCATTCATGAGGTGTCTAGAACATGAGTGAACGACTGAAGAGCCGCCCGCTCTGCAAAAAGGCACAGCTGATGTACTAGATGGCTCTGTTCATCTAATGCAATTGAATTGGCAAAGAAGTCACAAGGAATCAGATATGACATTTCTTGCCTTAGCCCATTGAGTCTGTCTTGTGAAAAAGGGCCCACTCCTTATTTATTTATTTAATCAATTTATAAAGCAGTCCAACTCAACAAGTGACTCTGAGCGGTGAACAATAACAAATAAAATAAAAATTACATCATAAATTGCAAAAATTAAAACACATTGCAGCTGAGAAAAAATGCTATGTATGCATTCTCAGCTGCTTATAAATAAAAAATTATTTGCAGAACGTAAATGCTAACTTCCTGCAAATATCACCAATTTTGTCTGCAAGAGAACCCCAGTAATTTGCAAAACACATTAAAACAAAACTAAAACTGCATTGTGCTGCGTTGAAAACTTATTCCTAGCAGAGATTTAAATAGAAGGAAGCTATACTGAAAGATCGTGAGAGCTGCCTTGAGTCAGTTGGATTGAACTGGCATAGAAATCATAAATCAATACGTATGATAGCATTTTCCCCTTCCAATCATTTGCCACTCTACTAAAGCGGTTTTAGTCCCCTGAATGGACAAAAGCCCTATTTGAAATGGATGATCAGCAATCCAAATGCTGCTTTACCATTGCCAACTAGGTTAATTTCATAATAGATTCAGGCCACTGTTCTCATTACTGGATATGTCCCATTTCAGAATCCAATACTTTAGATTGATTCGACTGTTTCTGTTTTTATTCTGCCGTTTTCTTTGCCTGCTTGAAATCCTGCCTCAGTTCATACCCTCTAATCCACACAGTTACCCGACGCTTGAAGTCCATCAAGAACATCCAGAAAATCACCAAATCCATGAAGATGGTTGCTGCTGCAAAGTATTCCAGGGCAGAGAGAGAATTAAAGCCTGCCAGAGTTTATGGTGTGGGGGCATTAGGTAAGGGACATCCTCTCTTTTGCAGCCAACAACTTTTACTGTTACTTAAAAAGGCAGCTTTCTGACCTTGAAGTTTTGAAGGATGTGCTTCCAGCCATCTTGCAAATATAATAAAAGCCTGATTTAACAGACCCTGATTTAGCAGAGTTTGGATGCAAGAACAAAATCTCACCTTCCTGAAATAAAGAAATTTCATCCTCCTGAAATATTTCTGTCAAATTACGTTTAGGTAATTTGCGTCATTTTATGACCTTGGTGTCATGCGGTAACTATGCTATTTGTGTAATGGTGTGTGAATTACATAAAATGATGCAAATGGCATCATTCGCAAATGGCATCCGTTGCTGCAAATAATATCCGTTGGGACTGAAAGGACGTTTGGGAGTGAAAGCTTCTCTCTCCCCTTAATGGTCCATTAAAACAAGGTTTTACATGAACTTGGAAAACTCTCTTCGCTCGGGATATTTCAAATAGAAATCTCTGCATCCTATGAAGCAAACTGTGTGGGCAATAAATCTCCCTCCTTGAGATAAGTGCAGTCTCCGGTTTTGGCATCTCGTTCTTTGGGTGGTTATTAATTGTTAGTGGCCACATGTTTTCCTTCTTTTCGCAGCTCTCTATGAGAAAGTAGAGATCAAGCCCCCCGAGGACAAGAAAAAGCATCTCATTGTTGGGGTGTCTTCTGATCGTGGCCTGTGTGGGGCCATTCACACCTCTGTGGCTAAAGAGATCAAGAGCCAGGTCGCCAGCCTCACGGATTTAGGGAAGGAAGTCATGGTGGTTGGGATTGGAGACAAGCTAAGAGGCATCCTTCAAAGGTGAGGAGGGCAGGAGCGCCCCCTTCTGGGGCTCATCAGTTTGGAGGATTTACTTTACATAAGCACGTATAAGCCCATCCGCGAATAGGCCGACCCTCGAATTTTTAACCAAAATACCCTGAAAAATGCACCACTCGTGGATAAGCCGACCCACATTTTTCGTGGTATTTTGATTTAAAATTTGAGGGTCAGCTTATTCGCAGATGGGCTTGTATGCAAATATGTTGTCAGGCCCAGCCCAAGAACAACAGGGAAACAGTCCAACCAAGCTTAGTCCTTTCATTGCTCACGCCATGTAGACAAAATCTTGCCAGACTAAATCTGTAGGACTGCAACTAATGGCTATACCCTGGGAAATTCTAGGGAGTGGCTGTCCTGAACCTCTTATGCTCCTGCTTCGGACTGTGTTGCCTCTTGTCTCTCTGCCCTTCTTGGAATGCACCCCCTCCTTCCTGAGAATCTTGCTCTCTTCTGCAATCCCCAACATCACCCCCCCCTTTCGTAGATACAGTTCATCATGCATATATGGGAAATATGGGTACTTTCAAAAAGTATTACCATATATACTAATGGATAAGCCCATCCGTGGATAAGCTGAACCCATTTGGGGGGTTTATTTTGGCACCTAAAATTCTCAGCTTATCCACGAGTATATGCGGTACACAAACTATTACACTTTTTCTGAAAGACCACATTTACGTTCCTCTTATTACACTCTGAATTTTAAGGTCCAGCAGGACTCCTGGCTTTAGTTGCTTTGGGTACATTTTCAGGCAAGACATGTTTGAAGAGGACCTCCTTGATCACAGTTCAGGGGCATTGGCTGATCTTGAAAAGCTTAACAGGGTTGTACCTGGTTAGTACTTGGATGGGAGGCTTCCACAATGCTATATATTAGCCTGGGAAGTCAAAGAAACATCCTGGAAGGAAATGGTAGCAGGTCCTTTTCCATACTGTTGCCAAGAAAACTATATGAGCATATCCATAAAGTCACCAGAAACTGAGGCTCTGCTCAAAGGAGACTTTAACAAGGATGGGAGCCAAAGCTTTCCACTTCATAGTGTAACTTCAAGCCAATCTTGAGCAAAAAGAGGATAATGTAACACAATGCAGAAATAAAATGGTTGCTAGACTACAGAATAAGGGGATTATTGTTCTCTAAGCAGTTGCACTTTAAAAGCCTTTGCAAAGAATGCAAAAAATGAGCCTCCCAGAGTCACCCATTGGGGGAGATGGGCGGCATACAAATTTAATAAATAATCAATCAATCTCCCGTGGAGCCATCTCCTCAATGGCTTTACTTTTATCCAGATTTCTGGATAATTAAGCCTCGTTTTGCACCTCACCTGATTATTTCTTCAAGTCAGTACCTCTTTGAAGCAAGACATCATAATTTTCATACTAAACCCCAAGAACAAAAAATGTATGAAGGGGAGGAAAAAGCAATTCATGGCATATCATCTGCTCTCTGGTTATCATCCCTTCTGAGTAGATTAATAAATTAATAAGAGGCAATTAGGAAGTGAGCCCCATGCAGGTTGGCTACAAAGCAGAGTTTCCATTGATTATCTTGAGTCTGGCTGTTGCATTAGGGATCAGCTGAAATTTTTGGATGTTTCTTAGAGCTTGGGTTTACACGTGATGCAGCTTAGAGCATGTACCATAACAGCATTGCTCTTTTAGGACGCATGGTAAGAACTTCCTCTTGAACTTTAAAGAAGTTGGAAGGAAGCCTCCCACTTTTGGAGATGCATCGATCATTGCTTTGGAGCTGCTGAATTCTGGATACGAGTTTGATGAAGGCTCTGTCATCTACAATCGGTTCAGGCAAGAATTAACCAGTTCTTCTGAAATCTAAGTTACCTTGTTCCCAGGGAGAACAGCTCCTTGGTCTGACGTTTTCTAAGTAAGAGTAAAGAGTGCGAGGGAATTCAAAACAAAACAAAAAAGAAATAACTAGAAATAGGTAAGCTGCTTCTGTGGCTGAAGGAAATAATTTCATGCTGAAACTTATTTCTAGCTCTTGCTAATCAATAGGTTATTACAGCTTTATTGTTTCAGAAATAGGTCTTTGCTTGAAAAGATGATCTTAAAATTTGTAGGGGACCATTGGCATACAGATAGTCCTTGCTTAACGACCACAAGGGGTCATTAAGCGAATTCTGGCAAAAAAGGTCCATTGGGGAAGCTGGATTTGCTTAACGACCATGTGATTTGCTTAATGATTATCATAAAAAAGGTAGCAAATTGCGAACACATGCCTGTGGGGGGATAGTGTGATGGTCTGAGACGGTCATAAATATGAGTACTGGTCGTAAAGCACTTTTTTCCAAGGCCGTGGTAACTTCAAACTGTTGTTAAACGAATGGTCGTTCAGCGAGGACTACCTGTATTATATATTATATAATACATACGTATTCTACCTGAACCTGGAGCAGATAAATCAGTATAGTTCAAAATAGTTTGCTTTTTTCCCCCTTTCAGGTCTGTCATTTCTTATAAGACTGATGAGAAACCAATCTATTCTCTTGAGACAGTTTCTGGTGCTGGTAAGTCCAACAGTGGAAAATGGGTAGGGAATAGATATCTCCAGCCCTTCCTTCCCTCCCTCTTTCAAATGGTGCATGAGTCCACTTTCAGAGAAGAGCTTTCACAAAAGACTATACACCAAAGTAGGAAAGTAGAAAGAAGGTGTGATGGTCCCAACCTTCTCTCCTTCATTACACAACGTTGTCCTTCTCTTGTCCTCAGCCGGCAAGTGAAATAATTTAAAGTGCTAACGTAAAAGTAACATTTCCCCTTAAACCAATCTTTTCCCACTACAGCTTCAGTATGGGTAAAATCTGTCACCCATTATCTCAGAGGCAAGGGTGACTGAAATTTGAGGGACCGCCTCTCCCCAGTTACTTCTGCCTGTCCCATCAGGCCTGGCAGAAGAGGCATGTGATGGGTCTCGTCTATCAGGGAGGGCTATCTGATGGGACCCAGGAGGAGACCCTCTTCTGCCGCAGCCCCCGCCCTTTGGAACATCATCCTCCGGAGGTTAGATTGGCCCTGACTCTCCTGGGCTTTCGGAAGGCTCTGAAGTCATGGTTTTGCCCTTGTGGTTGTGGTGTGGGGCCTGCTTGAGGGCTGTATTGATTGCGATGCATGCCTTGTACTCTTCCTCTGGTTATGCTGTATAGTTTTAATTTGGTTTTAATGGTTTTATCTGTTTTCGTTGTTTTATTTCTATTATCTTTATTCTTTTTTGTAACTGTTTTTTTGTTACTGTCTTGCTCCTGAGTGGGTCCCAGAGAAATAAAAGCCTGAACTCCTAAAAGGCACTCCTGCTGACATGCCCGATTCTCTTGTGCAGTCCCATCCACCTGGGCAGATTTCCCACCCCCAAAGCCCCCTGTCTTATCCGAGTCCATTTCTCCTCATCCATCCCAGAGGGGACAAGATGTCTGGTGGACCTGATCTCAGCCAGTGCTGTTTTCAGGGACAAGCCATCTTAATCCAATAGAGAGCCAGACTGAAATGAATCCAAACTAAATAGTTTCCAGCAAGTTTACATAGAATTGAGAGGTCACATTTTCTCTAACCCCTTGACCACCGTTTTTTTTTTATAAAAAAAAAAAACTTGAGATCAGGTCATCTTACTTGTTCCTTAAGGAAACAGGGCGAATATTCCATATAAATTGGATGGATGGATGGATGGATGGATGGATGGATGGATGGATGGATGGATGGATGGATTTTGTATCATTTGTTTTTGATCATTAGCATGTCTGTTTGGAAGTTAGAATTAAAGATGGAAGTGCTGGGCAATCCTCTAATCTTTAGTAAATGCAGAAGCAGCTAAGGCTTTCCTATGTGTTGAAGTGGTTAGTAATCTGAAGTAACGTTTAAATACATGCAAATGTGCGGTGTTCTATCCCTCTGTCATACATAATATACTTTTAAGGCTGTAAGGAACTAAGTGTACCAACTGTTGTTGCTTTTACAGAAAGCATTAGCATCTATGATGACATTGATGCTGATGTCCTGCGAAACTATCAGGAGTTCACGTTGGCTAACATCATCTTCTACTCAATGAAGGAGTCTACCACAAGCGAGCAGAGTGCTCGGATGACTGCTATGGATAATGCCAGCAAAAATGCCTGTAAGTGGAATTCCAGGGAGTGAAGAAAATAGCAGTAAGAGCAGAAACTGCCAAGACATAACCAAGCAGTCTGAGCGATATGGAAGCAAAATTTGTTTTACATCTTGGCTGCACAAGTGCTACTTTCTTAAATATAGAAGGGGATCCGACTGGTCAGTTAAGGCAAACTCAAAAGATTTGATTGATTGAATCTGGGCAGCTCCCCAGATTCTGGGAGGCTTGCACAAAAATTATAAATACCCTAAAAGCAATCAGTTTAAAACAACAGATCAGTCAAAAAGATTTAAACATTATGAACAATAAAACATTCAAATCAGCCCTTTGTAACATGCATTCCCTGTCCCAAGGGCTTGACAAAATAATAAAATCTTGCTCGCCTGGACCCCAGGGATAAGAATATTCCAAAGGGATGGTTTAGCTCAGTGTTTCCCAACCTCAGCAACGTTAAGGTCTGTGGACTTCAACTCCCAAAATTCTGCTGAGATTGGGAAACTCCGGTTTAGCTAAAGCAAAACCAGCCCCCACCTCTCTAGCTACCCAAGGGGGATAGGGATCTTCTGCACTGCTTCTTGGCGGATCACACAGGGTGGGCCGACTCTCTTGAAGAAGACGGTCCCGTAGGTAACATGGCCCAAGCCATTTAGGACTTTGTAGGTCAAAACCAGCACTTGGGAAACATTCTGGCAACCAAGGTAGCCCCTGCAATACAGGTGTTACAGCACTGAGGCTGCTCTCACCTCTTGTCAGCATTGATGCTTCCACATCCTGCACCAGCGTGAGTTTCCAAGCAGTCTGAGACACAGAACCTTACTCCTACTTTGGAATCAGTCCCGTTTCTGAGTAGTGCAGGTGCTACAGCTCTGCAAGGGAGTTTTCAGGTAGAATTTGTCATTACATCAGCCACTTCTTCCTCATGGCCTCCAGATGTGTTGGGACTATCACTCTGAAAACTTCCATACAGTTGGAACTGGAACTTCCCAGCTGAGACGTTGGGGAGTTCCAGTTCTAACTCATCTCAAGGGTGTTACCGAAGCCTCAATTACATATTTTTACATGTTCTTTCGAATAGCCTTTAATGCAACCAGGCAGCTTCCAATCCCAGTTGTTGACTAGCCTAATTTTACTCCTCCCCATTCCTTTAATGTAGAATGCAAGGGAACCTTTTCTTTTGCTGTAAAATGCCCTGGGCTTCTGCTCGGTTCCAGATGTTGGGCTACGGTTCTTTTAATTTATCATTACCCATTCTGGGTGGGACTAATGGGAATTGATGCAACATCTGGAGAGCCACAGGTTCTCCATCTGATCTCAACATATGTGCGGAAGCTGTCCTTCAGGAGATTCTAAGATGGCGGATTAGCATCTAATAATCTTGTTTAAACTGACAGATCATCCGGGTGAAATGAGGACCATTGGATTGTATGCTTACTGTCCTGGAAAGCACAGGAATGAATAAGGGTATATAGTGAGAATCAGCAGCCCGTATGCATAGTTTGTACCTCAGAGCATACTGGTAATGTGAGTCACAGAACCAGGAGTGTGTTCCCACACTAGAATCTGCTGATAGGTAGAATAGCTGTGCTCGCTCTGTCTGTCTGTCTATCAATCACATTTATATAGCTGCCCATCTCACATAGTCACTCTGCTTTTATAGACTTTAGAACTGAACACACTAGTCATATTACGGGGGTGGGAGAGAAGAAGAATGGGTATCACCTTTGCCCAAGCAGTGGGCAGCAGGATACCTGATGCTGTAGCATTTCCCGACCAGTTCACAGTACTCAGAAAATGTAAAGCGACCAGTTCTTTGGCTCTGATTAAACAAGGAGTAGTCCAGATCTTTTCTGTTCATTCTTTGCCTCCCCCGCTTTTCCCTTTCGAAGCTGAGATGATTGACAAGCTGACCCTGTCATTCAACCGCACTCGCCAAGCTGTCATCACCAAGGAACTGATAGAGATCATCTCTGGTGCTGCGGCTCTGTAAGTATTGGCAGATGTCTCCCTGATGTTCTGGTCGTTTATTTTTTTCTCTACCCCGACAACGTGGGGAGGAAGCGGAAAGAGGGCTCATGAGCTCACGCATGCTTCTGCTCTGTGTTTTAAAACTCCCAATGGCCGTGATTGACACTAGAGAGGCTCCTGAGGTGTGTAGCCGGGTTGAGATGGTGGACAGCGCTGCTGAATTGCTCCAGTATTAGGTTAATCAGAGTGCTGATGGTGGCCTTTTGTAAAACCTACATCCTGGGCACAAAAGTAGCAATTTCAGTCACTATTGTTTCCTAACGCTCAGTTTTCAATGGAATCCTCCCTCCACATAAGGAGACTTTCTTACAACTGCTGTGGTTAATCCCCACTGATGGCTATGTCAGCTAGAGTTCTGTAAATAGATCCCATGTGGTTTTCTGCAAAGCTCAGATGCTGTCTAATTTTTTACAGAGCTGTTCATAGAAGGCAAAAGCAGATAGTTAATACAGTGGTGCCTCAGGTCACGAACGCTTCTGTTCACGAACAATTCTGTTCACGAACAGCTCCGGTCGCAAAATTTTGCCTCCGTTCGCGAACGCCGGATTGGGTGACGAACAGGATCCGCGGCCATTTTCCCTCCCGTGATACGGTCTGCAGCCATTTTCCTTCCCGTCACACGTGGTCCACGGCCATTTTCCACCTGTGACACGTGGTCCGCGGCCATTTTTCCGCCCGTTACACGTGGTCCGCGGCCATTTTCCACCCGTGACACGTCCGCAGCCATTTTTCCGCCCGTTACACATGGTCGTAGGGAGGGGGACTCCCCCTCCAAGCAATAACCACCTCCCTGTCCTCCACGCCAGAACGGATTAACTGTAATTACATTGAACCTTATGGGAAAATTTGCTTTGGGTCACGACCAATTTGGGTCGCGACCAGAGTTGTGGAACGAATTAAGTTTGTGAACCGAGGTACCACGGTATATCATTGTCTGCAATAATACTGTTAAATGGGGGAGAGGAATCTAATGCTGCATAGAATGGAAAATGATTGCGCTTTTAATCTATCCACTAATTGGTGCGTCTTATTAGGTTGTTCGAAGTTGTAATTTAACTGGCACAGTTGACTATTGCATGTTGATTCCGCCCTGTGTGTTTGCACCAATTTCTTTGCCTTAATCTGCATTGCTTAATGCTTCACTGCGTGTTTTGTGTTTTTTTTAAAAATTCCACAATCAGGCACTAAGGGCTAAACAGAAAGTGAGTTTCGTCCAGAATCAACAGGTAAAGTGATGTTGTAAATTATATACTGAGCAAAAAAGTAGACCGTGGAAAGAACTGTCTAGTGGGTGGGGAAGGTTTAGATGGCTTTTGCTTTGGCTTAGGTGCCTGCTTACAAATGACTGATACTGCACAAATACCTGCTGCCAGCGTTTTTACTAAAAATCAATTCCATGCCTGCAGTACATGGGCAAAATAGGTGTTGATGAGCCAGGTTTTCATTATGTACTTTGATGTGTTAAATGCAATGGATGCAACGCAGTGACCTTCTCTCAGTCGAAAGATGAGTCCTCTTCAAGAACAGCATTGCTGTCACCCAGTTCAGAGGTTACTTGAAAGTGAACCATTGCAGATAAACTGCTTTGATAACAGAAATTGTGGCTGATGAACCAGCTAAATTTAGTAAAAGGCATTCCAAACCATTGAGGGCTGGCTGTACCAACGTTCATTAATTCTACTTAAAGCAGGCATCCAATACACAAACTTAAGCAGCAGCGAATTAGAGATTTCCCTCTTGTTTGGATTAGGGCAGCGTTTCTCAGCCTTGGCAACTTTAAGATGTGTGGCCTTCAGTTCCCAGAATTCCCCAGCCAGCATGGGAAGTTGAAGTCCATGTGTCTTAAAGTTGCCACGTGGATTAGAGATTTGTCTTAATGGCATTTCACTCAATTACCTGATGCAGGCATTGGTTTCAACAGACCACCTTAGAAAAAACATCCCCCCTACCTTCACAGGAGAGGATATTTCTTCTAAGATGTTTAGTATCTCCAATTTTTCTGCCTGCGTTATAAAAAACTAATTTTAAAGTATTATTTGAGATCCATTTTGTGGATCTGTTTCAAATACTTCAAAAGTGAGTTGTTTAAAATCCTACTGTGAGCTGCAAGGTAACTGTGAACTTGGAGGGTCTTCTTGAATTAAATCATACCAATTGTGATGACAGGACCATGCAGCTATATTTAACTATTTAATTAACGAATCCTCTAGAACAGTTTTAAAGGCTGATGCCAAGACAGAAGGGGGAAGGAGGAGACTAGAAGCAATTCACAATTGACAGAATTGGAGAATCTATAAATGAAACATTCAATTAAGTATGAACTGAGTTCAAGCTCTTTTTAATACAATGTTTCTGTTTGTAGATAAAGAGAAATTCTTCCAGCAAGCAGTTCCTTTCTCAAGCGAGAAGATTATTAGTCTGTCATTCTGTGAAGAATTCTCAGGCAGAGAATCCCATCTGTTTGTAAATTGTATTGCAATAAAGTCCTACATGAAAGTCTCTCGGGTATATGATTGTCGGGATAACTGGAACAGAGAATACAAGTGAATGGCGGTGGCTTCATAAAAGAATATTCAAAACGCGGCAGTCTGCGTGATTAGATATATTAAAAAATGAAGAATTACTAGGCATTTCCTCCTCTGCAAGCCCAGCTGAAAGAAGCAGGAGCTGTGCAGAAGCTTTAATTTCTTTGTTAAAGCAGTGAATAGGTTGTATCATTTTTTATTACCAGAGGTTGGATGAGGTGAAGCAATTCATTCTTGAAGTCTGATCAGTGATCGCCGTTCTGGAATTTTAAAACAGCTAAGAGAAGGCAGAACATGCAACCACCGGGAGCCAGTTTTACATTCCCTGGGATCGTGTGGACAAATTCTGCCAGTATGATGGTTTTTTTAAAAAAATAATCTAAGCCTTCTCTACCCCAAAGTTGAATATTTTGGCTGTTAGCCCTTCTGGAAATCTCACTGTGATCAGGTGGCAAGGCAGTCTGTCAAGACAGTTTATTTATTTAATGTATATGCCCCCCCCATCTCAAATACATGACTCTGGGTAGCTACCAATGATTAAAAACAATGTAACAGAATTATAAATAACACAAATAGCAGCCAGGAAAAAAAAAACAACCTCAGCCTTGCGAGGTAGCCCAGACAAGAAGCACACCCAGAAGTACTAGCTCTGGCTTTACTGTAAGGTTACATTAACAGAAGCTTGCAAGCCTGAAAGTACATTTCTCTCCTGTGGCCTTTATGCTCCAAGAAACTAGGGAGGATCCCTTCTGAGACGTTTGCCACACCCCCATTCCTTCTGCAGGCTCAGCTGCCATTTGTCTGACTGTTGTCTAGTCTGTGGCTCTTCCTCCTGTCTCTGAAGGTCATTCCCACCTACCATTGCAAACAGCCAACAACAATACAGGATTAATAACAATTCATACAACCATGAAACTGGCTTACCCACGCCTCCAGGTTTTCAAGGCTTTATGGAAGGTCAGCAGGGTGGGGGCAAGTCTTATCTTGGAGAATTATGTGCCAGAGGGTGGGTACCAAGACAGTAAAGGCTCTCCTCCTGGGTCCCGCTAGATGACCGTCCGGATGGATGGGACTTGGAACATGTCTCTTCTGCTGGATCTAACGATGGCTACATAGAACCTGGGAGTCTAGCTTATCTTCCGGACTTACGGAAGCAGACGCATCCTATCTGGGAGCCGGAAGAGCTCATTTGTCTGGCCAACAGCCATTTCATACACAATTTGCTACTGGCACTTAGTACAAAACTGGGAGTTACCGACAAAAGGAGCGCTCAGACTTTCTCTGGCGATCTTGTAGAGTCTTGTCTCGAATCTTAAGTGGCCTGTTCCAGCTTAGCCATCCTTTCAGTTGGGACAAACACCCAGCTTCTGAGCTGGCCTGCTGCGAGGAAAATGGCTTCCAAGCCCGGATACTTTGCGTGAGGATGGAGTGCCGTTTCTGCCCCTAAGTATTAAAAAAAAAAAAAAGAATCAAAACTGCTTCTTGAAGATGTGGTATTAGATCCTTCTAAAAGCAGAACATTCCAGGATGGTTAGTGCTGGTTTTGTTATATGTATAAATTGTATGAGAGAGGGCTCTTCAGCATGGAGAGCCGGTACTGTTGCTATTAAAGCGCTCCCAAGCTCGTGTGACCTTTTTTCTTTAAAGTACTCAATAACCACCACCCCCAAATCACCCCTGTTGTTGTTCAGACCTTAAGTCGTGTCCGACTCTTCATGACCCCATGAACCATATTGTGCCAGGCCTTCCTGTCCTTCACTGCCTCCCTGAGTTTACTCAGTTTCATGCTCAGAAATCACCCCTAGTACTGACTAAACATTCTGCATCCCCAAATAATATGCCCCTCCCTCCAAAAGCTAAGGTAAGGAAGCAGAAACAGTAGCGTACTGAGTACTCGCAACTGTAATGCAAACATAATCCCATCATCTGAATGTCACTGATCAATATTTCCAAAACTGTTGATGAGTATTGGAGAGTGCAGGGCGATTGCCCAGAAAACCAAACTGAATAGATTCCTGCCTCAAATTCAGTACAATTTACAGTGACTGGAAAGGGAGAGATGAAAGTACTTTTTATTCATTTATTTTAGTCGTTTAAAATTATAGCCACCCCTCCAGTAGACTCTGGGCAGCTTACAAAATACAAAAGTAAAACCAGTTAAAAACATACAGAAAGTAACAAAGGATAAACACGAATAGCTTGTTATTTTAGTCAAGTAATCATGAAAGCTGTTCTGGTGGAAACAATTCCTGTTCTTGCCTTCCTACCCCTTCTGACATACAGCTGGAGGGTATTGGCTGGCTTCACATAATATCTAGAACCATATACTTACCCAAATCTACTGGGTTTATACAACATGCTAACCCACAAAAAAGCTAACCGAGCTTAGTATGGAAGCAGCCGCTAAGTCTTTCACTGAGGTGGTTAAGGGTGGTGTGTGAACCCAACCGCTGGTTGTACTGCTTTGGGTGGGGTTCAGTTGTAGCTTAGTGGAGGGATGAAGGGCTGGCATCATTCCAGATGCTGCTAAGCTGTGACTCCCAGTATCTTCCACCGGTCATCATGCTCCCTGAAGCTGTTGGGGGTTGTAGTTTGACAACATTTGGAGGCAACAAGTTCCCAATCGTTGGCTTTGTGCTTTCATAAGCAGTTGAGTGCAAACCTGGGTCTTCTCGTATGTGCTCTCACATATTCGGTCTACAGTCACCTTTAGGTCTTTTTGCTAGTATGGGTTGCACTGCTTCACCTCTAGTTGTGACAGAATAAGGGGGAAATGCCATTCATCTCCATCCAATGCGTTAGCAGCAGCATTTGGGGGAAAGCTGAAGTAAAAGGAAAATACTACAGCAGGCCCATTCATGCACCACTTGCATCAAAACAGTTAAAATTGGGTGGATTTAATGTTACACATTGCCACAATTTTGGACATACCCCAATCTTCATTTTCCTACAACGTGAGAACCAGAACATCTTATGCATTCATTAAAAAAAAGGGGACTTCAAGGCTGTGGCACTTTCTCTATCATGCGCCTTGTCCTTGCAGGTACATCTGACATTCAACACTTCAGTTTTGCCAGATGCTTCAGAAGTGGGTCTTCAGTTGGTTTTTCAGTTTGTGCTCATGGAGACTTTGCACTGATTGTTTTATAGGAATGGTTTCTTTACTGTTTCGTGTTTTATTCCAATTCTGTGAAACACTGATTTCTGTATTAAAAATGGTATGTAACTGCATAGTTTCTCCTCCTCTTAAAATGATTAAAACCCTTCTTTTTGCATCTAAAAAGTCCCTGATGCAAAGGATAAAATATCTACTGCAGGGTTCCTCAATCTTAGCAACTTTAAGATGGTGGACTTCAACTCCCAGAATTCCCCAGCCAGCATGGCTTGCTGGGGAATTCTGGGAGTTGAAGTCTACCCATCTTAAAGTGGCCAAGGTTGAGAAACATTGATCTACTGTACTGAACAAATAGAAATAAATCTGGCATGGAAGTCCATATAGTTCTTCACTGTTGAAAATCCATTGCTGAGAGGTAAAAATCCCAGTTCTACCTCTATATAAGTGCATAAAATCAAACATTCACCAGCAATCTTAATTACTGGCCAACCCAAATGCCCACTGGGGACTACAGTATGAGCCACCAACAAATAGTCACTGCTGCTAAATACAAACAGATTTCCCCTCCAAGAAACTTATTTACTTTGAAGGTGCAATAAACCTGGGATTTTCAATAAATTGATTATGTGCCATCAAGTCATTTTCAACTCCTAGCAACCACATGGGTGGATTTTCTCCATGACAATCTGTCCCTAACCTGGTACATGCCTATCCTGGATCTATATCCAATCATTTTTATGCCCTGGTGAGTTCTAGGAAGGGAGAAAACATTCTGTATGTCATGCAGGTAGCTTTAAGTCTAAAGTATAAAGGAATCTTGAGGCTGGATCAGGCCGAGCGCCCATTTAGTGAATATTCTGTGTCATGCAGTGACCAATCAGATAAATCCTGGAAGCTAAGAAGCATTGATTGAACAGTGACAGCTTCTTATCCGTGTAATTCTATGGCAACTGGTATCACAGGCAATGCTCCCTCTCCCGATAAATCTCTAACGTGTCTCCATTACACATCTCCTCTTTAAGCTAAAAGGCACTGATAGTGTTGTATTTCCTCAACCAGGAGTTAATAGTCCCCTAATCATTTGGGTTATCCTTTTTTTAAAGTACCCTTTCCAGGCTATATCTTTTTTCACATGTGACCAGAATTCAAAGGTGGTCTCTCTACGGATGTATATAAGACTATCAATAAGGATTTCAAGCATGGAGTTTCCATCTTTGCAGCAGCCACCCACGGGTTGGCTTTTGTTAAGTTATGATGCCAAATTCCTTTCCCAACCTATCCCAGCCAGTTCAGATCCCATTAATATATGTATGAAGCTTGGATTACTTGTTATTATGCATCACTTTGGACTCACACTGAGTTGTATCTGCCACTTTGAGGTGTATCCACCTAGTTTGCAGAGAGCCAAACTAGTTATTTTTGCAACCCCTAGATGATTTTACTATCCTAGATAATGTATCCATTTATTCAGTTTAGGCACCACCCAACTCCAGACTAACTCTAGGTGGCTCACAATAAAACCAAACAGGTTGAAATTACAAGATAAATAGGATATGAAGAATGTTTTTTTAAAAAAGAAAGAACAAGATGAAAAAAGACATTGCAGTTGGTATCATCTGCCCCTCACTTCCTAATCCACATTGTTTATAAAAACTGGTCCCCCCACTTATCCCAGGGGAACCCCACTGTGACTATGGCCCTAGTTTGAAAGTTTAGCATTAATTTCTACTCTCTGGGTGGGTTTACACAGCATGCTGAACTAGGTTAAAGCTGTAATGGGAAGAAGGAATAACCTTGAGGAACAGGAGGAAAAGCAGCAAACAAGACAAAGGTCAGATAAAAGAACTTGGAGTCCAGACCAGAAACGTAATTTGAGGAAGCGTCTCAAACAAGGCCTTCTCAGTTCTCATGAAGATAAAGGGAGGGAGGGGAGAAGCGCATTCAGACCTGCAAAATTATGTTACTGTAACCTTATAATAAAGTAACACTAGCATTGATAACTTTGGTTTCCTAGTCTGGTCTACCTTGATGCAGTTTTGGGAAAACCCAGATGTTGTTTTAGGCCGTCTGAAGCAGCCCCCCCTCTTAAACCAGAGTATAGCTTATTTCTTTCAGCATAACACGCTGCAGGGTGAAAACCACAACTATACAGTATTTTGTTAGCCCGGACTGAGCACGTTGTGTGAGCGCAGTCCCTGCATCCCCTTCTTTGGCTGAGCAACCCTCCCGGGAGCATCTGTTTGCCTCTCAGGGCTGCTGAGGTTGGACCGTTTGGGGGGGATTTGTCAAAGGCGTCTTGAAAAAAAATCCCCTTACAGAGCGAGCACCAGCTTACCTTGCTTGAGGACACCCTTTTCCTTGCCGGGGGAAATGGAGTCCAGTGCAACGCGTGTCTGCTCAGGAAGGATTCCCCCTGGGGCTTCGTCTTGGGGGAACGGTGGCTTGAAGGGCTGAATCTCCCGCACGCTTACAGAAAAGCAAACTTCCTGCAAGCCAAGGAGCCTTTGGCAAGCTCAGAGTCGGGTTTAAGGGCTGCCAGCCCTCCCAGGCACGCTGGGTTGGGAGCTTCCAGTCGCGTCCAACAGCCAGAAGTGCCCTGACATCTTCCCTGCAACAGCTTAACCCCGAACATCTGGATAAGGACGCCCAGATAGGTCTGCCCTCCAAACACAGGCGCTCTAGAGATAAGAGCCACGAAGACCCGCGCGCCACATTCACACGACCTTCTTAGAAAAGGCGTTTTCGGCCAACCTTTAAAGACCAACTGTAGCAAGGCGAAGATGCCCGAGCTATCGATGGGTCGCGGGCTCCACGGCCACCTCGGCGCACGCGCAGGATCGATGCGCTCCGGGCTCGGCTGCCGCTGCCTGCAAGGCCTCCAGGTGACTCCAAGATGGCGGTCGCTGCAACAGCAGTAACGGCGACGGCGTGAGGGGCGCTTTCTTCCGCTCGGGCCATGGCCGCGCTCTGGGCCCCGCCGGGCGCCGGGCGGCAGTGAGGCGAGGATGTGCGAGAGCTACTCGCGGTGGCTGCTGCGCGTGTCCGTGGCGCAGGTGTGCCAGGCGCTGGGATGGGACTCGGTGCAGCTCTCCGCCTGCGACCTCCTCACCGACGTGCTGCAGCGGTACCTCCACTCCTTGGGCCGGGGCTGCCGGCGCTACTGCGAGCTCTGTGAGTGCGGGCCGGGGGCGTGGGGAGGGTGCTCGCGGGATTGTCATGGGGACGGAGCGGCGAAGGCGGAAGGAGGCGTTGCCGTGGCAACCAGGGGAGAAGCGAACCGCCAGGTCGTCACGGAGATGAAGCGTCGGCACGTGACAGGGAAGGGAGGGGGCTCTCCTGGACATCCCCTGAGGAAGGAGGGAGGCCTTCCTCGGCCCGTTGCCCTCCTGGTAGCCTGGGACTACAACTCCCAGGACTCCCAGCAGGCACCGCTAGTTCTATATAGTTGTTGGAAGGGGTGAGCCTCCCCCACAGTCTTGACCCCCAGTTTGGAAGTCGGGGAATGTAGTAGTAATAATAATAATTTATTAAATGTATCTGCCGCCCCTGACTCCCAGTGACTCTGGGTGCATGTAGTGGAGGTGCATCTCCCAGTTGCATTGTATCACTAACCCTTGTTAGCAGTCTGGGACGCCAGTCTCTCCCCTCCCAACATACCTCACAGGGTTGGGGTTGGGGAGAAAAATGGGAGGACCAGGTGGGGTACAGATCTGATCAAGTGATAAGTCTTTTTTTCTGTCCAGGGAGAGCACCAATATGCTCTAACGGTGGCTTGGAGATGTTTGGGCAGCTTTAAAGAGGAATGAAACTGGTCTAATTCAGTGGTTTAAAGGATTTGTGGCAGTGAGATTGTTAAAATGGGTGACAAGATTCTGGAGTGGAGAATTCAGTTGTTCCAGAGAAGAAAGTTGCTGGTTACAGTAGGGCTAGGTTTGGGGTTCAGTGTATTGTGGGAACCCAGCTGTTTTACCATGTTGTGGAAGCCAAGCTACCAGGTTTAAGACACAATATTTGATTGGGCATAGCAGATTGTGGGCTACAGAGGCAGGAAGCGTCTGGCTCACCAAGGGCACTCTGGAAAAAGCTAAATAGGGTTGATTCTGGTCAGTATGTGGATGGGAAATCCTAAAGTTGTAGGCTAGGCCAGGAAGTCAAGTAAACATCCTTGTAGAAGGCAATGGCTTTTATATTATTGCCAAGGAAAGTACATGTTCATATCCATGTCCATGTAATTATCAGGAGATGGCCTTGACTCAAGGGAGCATTTCCCTTTATTACCATAATTTTAAAGGGCTGCCTTGTAGCATTCTTGTAGTCACAAGGAATTGTACTCAACTCAAGGAACTTTCCACTTTACTTTAGCATGCTTGTTTGAATGCAGGGAATATGTTTTCTTAAGCTAGGTTTAGAGTTAGACGTGTGCTTTCCCTTGGCGGTACCAATAGGAATTTTATTTTGATATAAGAGATGTAAATGAACTTGTATGGAATTATGAACACACAAAAAGACAAGTCATTGTCTATTAAATAAACTCTACAGTGTAGTTGGTTTGGTGGAGGAGGGGGTTATAATGCTCCCCCATTGGAAATGGCTGTAATGTCTGTCCACAATAGTTAAGACCAAAAGCAGCCCCTTGTGACTGCTAAAGGCCTCTCTCAAGTGCCCCTGGCTGAATTAGTGGGAATGAAAGAAACAATATAAGGTCCTTTTGAGATCGAAGAAGAGGGATGCTTTGAAGGCATCTTGGCAGCCATCATGTCTGGCAGCTAAAGGATAAGAACTCTACTGCCTTCTGACAAATCCTAGCAGGCCATCAAAGGAATGATTTGCTGCCTCCAATGAGCAAAGTGCCCATGGAATTATGGGAAATGACAGGTTTCTATAGCTCTTATAACCAAGAGTGCACAGATTTAAAAACTGAAATAAATCAAGGAACTCTTCCCCAATAGCCTCCAGTTTTGATTACTGAAATAAAAAAATTTATAGATTCCCTGAAGCCAGATAAGCCACTGGTAGTGATTCTTTTCCACTGGACTTGCTGAAGGATAATGCTAGCTGATGGGCACCTGTTTTGGCATCTCTCTTTTCCTATATAGATCACATGGATCACATTCCCCAGTTTGGGTACTACCCATATTGTGCCAATATGCAAAAAGGAAAATAGGGGTGACCCGGCCAACTACAGCCCTATAAGTATGGTGAGCATTGTTAGTCAACTTTACGACCACCACCTGAACATCAGTTACAGGATTGGATGGAAACAAAATCAGTTTTGGGCAAAGAGCAGGCCAGTTTTTATCCCAGCTGCTGCACTTTAGATCATCTCTTGGTTCTACATCTTACTGAAAAGTTTAGCTGAGAGAATAGGTCCACACTATATGTAATCTTTATAGATCTCAAATCAACCTTTGACTCAATATTAAGATAAATCCTTTGGGAGAAATTAAGTAACACAAAGATAGACAGGCATATCCTGTTCCTAATTCAACACATTTATAATAACACTTCTGTTAGAATTAAATGCAACCCTCAAGGCATTTTATCTAAATCAATCTCTGTTTGAAAGGGGGTTAGACAAGGCTGCATCTTAGTCCCTTTCTTACCCAACCTCTGTTTAAACTCTGTAGTAGGCAGATTATCCAACTCAAGCTTCCACCCACCTAAGATTGATTGTCAAGGTAGATGTTCCACTACTTCTGTATGTTGATGATGTGGCTATCCTTTCATTAACAGCTTTAGGTTTTAAGTGAACATTCAAAGCTTTTGCCCATTTCTGCTGAGAGCTCTTATTGGCCCTTAAGGACTAGAAAATTAAAATGGTGGTTTTTGCCAAGAAACCCAAAAGATTTAAATGGGCCATTGAAGAGAAAGAAATTGAGCAGGTTAAAAGTTTCAAGTATTTGGGAGTAGTGCCCCAATCTACAGGTGCCTGGAGATGCACACTGTTCATGCTGCTTCACAAGTACACAAAGGAGTACATCAGTTATTATGGAATTTTTCAGACAAAAGGTAGAAAATTTATGTTTATTATTTATTTGATTTGATGCCACCCAACTCCAAGCAACTTTCGGTGGATCACAATATGCTAAACGAGATAAAAGGAATATAATAAGAACCAACATGCAACAAAACTAGAAAAGGAGAAAAGGAAGAAGATCGTGAACCCAGCAAACAACCCAAAACATCCCACCAACATCTAACATCCAGCAAAGGGGTCTCGAAATACTCTAGTCGTCAGGTGCTTATGGCTCTCTCAAACACCAGCAGAGTGGAAGCCATTCAGATCTCAGGGGGAACCTCATTCCAGAAGGTAGATGCTGTGACATAGAAGGTGTCCTAATAGATAACATACAAGCAGCTTTGAAACTTTTTACAACATAACCCTTGTCCCAAATGTTGTATGGTGCTCATTTGGGACCATTCCCTCACTATAATCATTTGAGGCCATGCAAACAAAGTTTTGTGAACCATTTTCCAAGTGCCTAGCTATGTATCTAATGTGATACTCAGAAGTAGAGGGGACAGCATGACTGCTAATATTCATCTGTTGCCTCGAAGGCCACTTTTCCCTATCAGGACTGATTCCATTAGTCCTGACAGACCAATTTCAGTCTTCGTGGTAACGAGCAATTCTGGAGAAACTGGCCCACTATGGCTTGCTGCTTGAGCATATGCTTCTTTTGGAATATTCTCAGGCCAAAAGAATCTTTAGAGAAAGGGTCCTAGATAAAGGGTTCCAGAATGAGATCAGCCATATTCCAGCTCCCATTAGAATTTGTATAACTTACTCCAGATGGGAACTGGGCAGATACCTAACTACTTTACTCCCTCCTGCCCAAAAAAGGGCCTTTCTCAGGGCCTGGCTTGATGTTTTACCCTCTTCGGTTCTTAATGGGAGATTTACTAAAGTCTTCATGTGTATGGGATCCTGCCCATGCTGCGCATACACTATGGAGACCATCACACGTGTGATTTTACAGTGCCCTATTACCAGCATAGTCAAGAAATGTTCATTCTTTCTTTATTGATACTTTATGATCTGTGAAAGCTTTCCTCTTGATTTTCTCCTCTCAGATAAGGAACCATTCATTACATATAACGTTGCAAGATTCTGCCTGACAGCAATTAAGATCTGTAGACAGATAGTTAAGGGTTCTGCGCATGGGTAAACTGATTTTTTAAAAATATCTACCTTTATGTAAAGATAAATTACATAGAATCCCCTTTTTAATTAATACTTAGTATTAATATTAATTTTTTTACAGACAGATTTTAGTGTTTTAATATTATGGTATTGTGTTAGCAATCCTAGTCTCTAGTTATTTTGATCACTCATAAGCTTAATATTATTGTTGAAATGGCTGTAATTCTTTATTGTATCTTAACCTGGTCTGTGACTGAAATAACAATTTGACTGGGCTTGACTTGCATGAAGAACTATCTGAGAAGCCCAGGATTACAGCACGAGACTGGAAAGTAAAACAAAATAAAAATCTCTGAAAAAAAAAAAGGCAATGACAAACCACTTCCACATCATGTTAAAAATGTACGGATGTGTCCATTTAAGTCCCTAGGCATTGAGTGCAACATACTAGATCTGTGGAGTTGGGGGAGTTATAACGATAGCTTACAAAGTAATTGAACTGCCTAGGTATGGAGGTCAACAGAATAAAGGAGGATTATGTTATCCCTAGAGACCATGGGGAGCATGTGCCATGACAGTGCATAATGCTGAGTTAGCTGTGGACATAATCAGTCTGGTTTAAGACAACTTCCTGTTTCCCAAAGAGTTATGAAGAAACTCAGTTCCTTCAGCAGACAGTGTAGACAATAACTTGAAGCAAATGGTTGACTAGGGCAGATGGGGTAGGGAAAACTATATATTTACTGACAGGTTGAATCCAGGTATGTTTACTTGCTTTGGGGATTCTTGGCAACCTAAGTGTGACTTCTAAAAAGATATGAGTAGAAATTCTGCTGATATTACTATTTCAGTAGCATTCTGAGTAAATTCTATTTATTTTATATCCTACTTTTCTGCTCTAGTGAGCACTTGCTAAATTGCAGTTTTGTTGTAATTTCAGAACCAGAGCTAGGGAAGGAAAATCAAATTCTGATAATATGTCATCAAGTAAATACAGCCTTGTGGAAGCAGAATAAAAATGTTGACATTCCCAGTCATCTAAAATGAAGTTTTGAATGGCCAACTTATTTGCTGCCTTTTAAAAAGCTGCTTCTATATAGCGAGTGGATATTTTTGAATGTTTGGTGAAGTTTTTTTCCCCCATTAACGTTCATTTTTGTTCCAGATGGCCGGACAGACCCAATTTTGGAGGATGTGGGTGAAGCCTTTAACCTTATGGGGGTCAACCTACATGAACTGGAAGATTACATACTCAATATTGAGCCTGTAACTTTTGCACATCAGATCCCCTCCTTCCCTGTGAGTAAGAATAATGTGCTGCAGTTTCCTCAACCTGGAAGCAAAGATGCAGAAGAGAGGAAGGAGTATATTCCTGATTACATGCCACCTCTTGTCTCTTCTCAAGAAGGTGAGAAATTGTTTCTCGGTTTCTCTATTTGTTGTGCTTTTGTTGTTGTAATATATATATATTTCATTTATTTTGAGTTGCTCAGACTCTGCTACCTAGGATGTCAATTTTATGTAAGACTCAGCAGGATCACATGTGATGATCTGTGATTTCTTACCATGGTTTTCTGGCTTGGAATTATGGATATTGGTTGTGAATGTCTGAGAGCACCAAGTTGATGGACGATTTTCCAAGCAGTTTGCAAGAAAAGAATTAGGTGTTGACATTACACACAGTTATGGGCTGGGCTTCTTGCTATTCATGTTCACCAAAGTATTCCTATTGTCTTATTATACGACATCAGTGTAAATGATCCAAGGAACTACCGTAGAGGAAATAGACCTGGGTTTGAATACTTGTTCTTCCACTACTGCATCAATTGGTTTGAAACAACATATTTTTATTTTATTATTTGTTTTCTCTCTGAAAAATAGATTATTATTGTAGTGTGAGATTAGCTTGACAAGAACTGTGAATAACCGCAAGAGGTAGAAGTGCTCTTGGATCTTGGATCAAAATTATCCCTGTGATATTCAATGCAACTTGGAATCCAGGCTAGGGAATACAAGAGGCTCTTTGTCTGGCACCAGAAAGTTATCAAAGTTAATACACAAAAAGCAGCTCAGGGAACAGATGCCATGATTGAGAGGAGACCCCTTTCTCATCATTGCTAGTCTATATGGTAGAAGATTATAATTAAGATTTATGTATTTGTTTATCAAATAAATAAAATGAAATATATTCAATAGTGATGAAAAATCTATTGTTTGGGCAAGTTTTCATGGCAGTCTCAAATAGTTCAATGTGTCATAAACCACAGCCAAGTACAGTACATAGAATTGTATCCTGCAACAGTTTAATACCCAGTCAGTATAAACAGAACTACCGTATTTTATTTATTTATTTAATTACCATTTTTATTTATCAAATTTATATTACCAAGAAATCATGAGTATTTTCAAGACCACCTATCCTATGCAGATTCTGCCTGCCCAACCTGAGGTCGCAGAGAATGCCTGCTGAAGGTCCCCATCTATCAAGAAGTGTGATGGGAGGGCCCCCAAAAGCAAGCTCCTCTCCTCTGGAACAGTTTACCCCCCCCCCCCGCGCCCATCCTCGCCCCAAGGCAAGGGTAGCTCCCATCCTCCTGGCGTTGTGGAAGTTTGTAAAAGTTTGGCTGTTCTGGAAAGGCTTTTGTGAGTTAAGTGTTGTATAGCTCTTCGTGCCAGGAGTATAATATTGGTTATAATTTTTACCATAAGTATATTCTATATTTTTGCACATGTATGTTACTGTTTTTTTTAAATTACTGCATTGGCTGTAGCATTTGCTTTTATAAGAGTAGCCTTGAAGCAGTTTATAAAATCATAAATAACAGAAGCTGATTGGTTCTGGCTGTATAAGTGTCAGAGAAGTCTTCATAGGCCTTTCCAGTTAAAATTCTTTCCTATGCTCTAATGAAAAGGATGTAATTGCAGTTGGAAAATTAATGTGGTCCTAGTAGTTGTGTAGAAAATGCTTTGAATTTGAAATTCCCTGCTTTGAGCTCAGAACAGAGTTCTGGCTTTATCAGTATTTTGATGCTGTTCTGATCATACTAAAATAATTTAATTTGAACCTGGTGTTTGTAGTGATTTTGTATGACAAGAACTTTTTCTCTTTGTACTTTAGAGCACTTGCAAACATGTTATCATATAATTACAAAGGTGAAAGTGGGCTGAAATACTGACTATAACTGGCTATGTATGCTTTCCATAACTTAATCCCAGTGGCATGAATTCTCCTTTGGTCTCCACTAAGGTTAACGAGGAAGTGAAAATTAATGGGATGGTGTATGCCAGAGACCTGTTGGAAGAGATTTCTCCAAATAATTGATTGATTGATTGATTGATTATGTATCATCAACTATGAGTCGACTCTTAGTAACTGCATAGTAACTAAGTAACTGATTTTCTCCATGACAATCTGGATGTCCCTAACCTAGTCTTTCAGGTCTTCCAACGGTGTACCCGTCACCACTATAACTGAGTCCATCTACTTTGATGCTGGTCATCTTCTTTCCTTCTACCTTTCTCAGTATTAGAGCCTTTTCCAGAGAGAGAGGTCTTCACATAATGTGTCCAAAATAGGATAATTTCAGCCTGGTCATTTGTGCCTTGAGTGAGAACTCTGGGGTTGATTTGTTTAGTGATCAGTTTGTTTGCTTTTTTCGCTGTCCATGGTATCCTCAGCAGTCTTCTCCAACACCAAAGTTCAAAAACGACAGTACTCTTCCTATCCTGCTTCTTCAAAGTCCATCCCCAACTGACTTAATCCTTTCTGTTGACATTTTCTGGATAATTTACCAGATTTCTTATTTTCTTTTAAAAATGTGTTGACCAGAATTGTAACATACAATGTGTGGTTACACCAAAAATCTTTTCTAAGAGCAGCTTTATTTCAGCAATTTTTCCTAATGATCCCTAGTAGCTTTTTTATAACTGTCACATAGCTATCTTTGTTGATTTCTTTCATGATCATTTATACTCACTGGTAAACCAATATCATATACTGTATGTGAAATTAGCTTTTCTGTCCCTGAATATACTTTCCTTTACTTATTTTTGAACTATGTTTCCTACTCCAATAATCCAAGTTTGCAGACATCTCACTGCCCCATTTTTCTTACCCTCCCAATTAGTTTTGTCATTAAACTTGGCTACCCATTGCTTGTAATAACAGATTTTGGAGATTCCATATCTTACATTCCACCATTGCAGGAACTACCCTTTTATTTCCAAACTCTGCTTCCTTTATCTTGTCATCTGCATAATAAGGTCTCCTCTCTTATCATAATTGCTAAGTTTACTCAGGAGCTTTCACTATTAGACCAGCTTATTTTAGAAGAGCAGAATGTTGATAACTAGGTAGTTCAGCATTTAAATATTTATGATCCCATAGAACATTTTTGTATAATGCAGTTATGTAATGGAAGATTCTTTTTTAAATATTAGTCAAACATTGAACCCTTTTTATTTTGGAGTGATATTTTAAGTGGTAGGTGAATTTTTAAATTCAATATTGGACTGGCTAAGAAGCATATGATTATTTGGAATTGTGCTTGGATTTGTACCTGAATTCATATCCTGTAAGGGACATTTGAATACTGAGTCTCTTTTGTTACTGGACATAGATACCTTCTTGGTAAAGGATCTGAGGTTTGTTTCAAAAGTATTGAAATAAATGGTTTATTTCAAAAGTGAAACAGAACTAAAACAGCTTTTTTAAAAAGAGCACCATCATTTAGTGGATTATCAAAAGCTCATAAATGCCATGGTCCTAGCAATATAGGTAAAAATGTGGTTTATGGAGAAATGAATAACTTAATGCTGTGTAACTTCCTTATTGAGTGTTAATAATAGATATAATCCAATCTGAAGTTTTTAAGGTATTGCTAATCAGAGTATTCTAGGAGAAGGAGGGAGGTAAAGACTACATAACATCTTTTGCAGCATGAAATGGAGTGTCTTTAGGGCAAGGGTTCAGCATCCTTTTTGTGGCAGGAAACTTTACATGCATTTTTATATTTTTCAGCATCTGAAAGCTGTGTGAGGCATGACCGGTGACACAGTAGTGTCAGTGAAATGGGTGGGGCTGCTCATTTTGGTAGATTTTTAAAGAGCAAAATAAGTAAGTCTTGTAGAGAAGCTAACAAACTGAAGCTCCACTTTTCATCTCTGGTTGCAAGCTTAACAGTAAAGGAAATGAGATGCCAGTATTTCTCTGATTAAACCATTATAGAGTTTAACTGGTATTAGCCAAAGATTAATTTGGGGGCTGAAGGGGGAGGGAAACCTAATTACATACAATAGTATGTATTCCTAGCCCATTACACTTTCTCTCCTGAATAGGCACTTGTAATATATTGCAATTTTTAGCAGATGATACAAAGGATGCAAAATAACAAGCTGTAAAAGATTGTCAAGAGTAATGATAAATACTGTAAAATCACTGGGAATTAGGTGGTATATAAATTTAATGCATGATGATGATGATGGTTGGTCACACGGTCAGCCAGTTATTTAGACACGATTTGGCATTTTTATGCACCTATTGAGTCCTTCCCAAGGACCTGGGATAGGCAGATGTTATTTGATGGTGTTAAAGGCAGGGCTGTGGAGTTGGAGTCGTGGAGTCGGGGTTGGAAGCAATTCTTGGGTTACTGGAGTCAGAGTCAGTAAAAATTTAAATTGTGTATAGTATAGTATAATATGTTACAATTTCTCATTTCATAGATAATTTGATTAACCCATTGTAATTTATTTAATAAATAAAAATTTAAAAACGAGAATGTCTTAGCTATAGCCTTTAGACCCAAGCTTTAACAGGTTAGGGTTCTAAAAGGTTGCCTGCTGCTTCACGTTGGCAGTGATGAAATGCCTTGTATGTTTTGTGCTTTCAGTCGATATAGGAAATATATAATTAATATATTTAATATTAATATAATATACAGTAAAACCTTGGATTGCGAGTAACCTGTTCTGTGAGTGTTCCGCAAGGCGAGCAAACATTTCTAATAAATTTTAACTTGATAAACGAGTGATGTCTTGCAATGAGTAGTACGTGACGCCGAATGTCACAGGATCACAACTGAGCCAGTGGTTCTTCTCTCTCTCACTGCGGGATTGTGGGTGATCGCTTTGATATACAAGTGCTTTGGATTACAAGCATGTTTCCGGAACGAATTATGCTCGCAAACCAAGGTTTTACTGTATATAATTTAATTAAATATAATTAAAGAAGTCAAAGTCGGAGGTACCACAAATAAAGGAGTCGGGGTCGAAGGTTTTATGTACCGAATCCACAGCCCTGGTTAAAGGTATCATCGCAGGAATTATTATTATTATTATTATTATTATTATTATTATTATT